TACTTCCCATTCCTAAATCCAATTGAGAATTGTTTTTCTGTTTGGAAAAATTTCGTTGTAAAGGGTGCTGCAACATCTAAACCAGAGCTCAAAAATTTAATCGATCCAGGATTTAATGAGGTTTCATCACAAAGTCGTGATGTATTTTACAGGAAGATGCTTATATATGTTAATCGTTCAGCTGAAGGTGAGATTATTTTGGATTGTTTCGATTGGCGCCCTAAAAAAATTTAGGCGCTCCACAATCGATTAGGCGCCCCAAATTTATATATATTTTAAAAAATTCTTTGAAAATTTTTTTAAAAACTTTTTAAATCCTTTATGATTTATGAAAAATTATTAGAAATATTGGTGAAGGAAGAATCTTTCTTGACCTTTCTAGAAGAAAGTAGATGCTTAAAACCTGTAAATGAGAAACAGTGTAAATTCTGCGATAGCTGCAGACTCTCTATAAAGTCAAGAAGAAGAGTCCAAAATGTATATTTTTTTCTTCGATGCAAGTCGTGTCGAAGAGAATATACTCTCTCTGATAATACTTTTTTTGTTATGAAGAGGGAAGAAGACGACTTGCTACTCCAGTTCAAACATTAGTAAAGTTGATCTATCTTTATTTTGAGGAAAGGACAGTAAAATATATCATGTCTGCCACTCATATTAAAGTAGTGAAACTGTTGCCAATTGGACGAACTACATAAGGTTGGAAACCCATGATCATATCATGAGTGAAAAACTGGGAGGTGAAGGTAAAGTTGTATAAATCGACGAATCTCTGTTTAGAGGTCGTCGAAAGTACAACCGTGGAAGACTTCTTTTGGATGACTTTATGGAGAATAATAGTGATGCTAGCCGTAAAATGAATTATAGCGAACGAGCAAATAGACCATGGGTTTTTGGCATGACTTAAGAAGGGTCTATAAAGGTTAAAATGTTTGTTGTAGAAAGAAGAGATCGCAACACTCTACTTCCTCTCCTAGTTGAGCATATTGATTTAAAAACTACTATTCATAGTGATGGATGGAGAGCGTATTTGGAATTGAATACTATGATTCACGACTATAAAGTCGTGAATCATTTTGAAAACTTTGTTGACCCGTAGACCCGCTGTCATACTCAATTAATTGAGTGTATTTGGGGTCATACAAAATTGAAAATAATTAAGAATAAAAGGGAAACTACCTCATCATTGTTACAAAGCCATTTGAGTTTTTTCTCCTTCTGTTACTTATACAAAGATGATGCATTTGAAAAATTTTTAGAAATTATTGGTAAAGACAATTAATAAATATTTTTAATCTTCTAAAAATTTTAACAAAAAATATATATATAAATTTTGTGGCGCCTAATCGATTATGGGGCGCCTAATACATTTTATAGCGCTTATCGAAACGGTACCGATTATTTTAGAATAAATTCTATTGATATCCTTTTTTCAAACTTCTATATTTGATTGCAAAGGTTCTATATTTGATTGCAAAAATTCTACAGTTAATTGCAAAGGTTCTACAGTTAATTACAAAGGTTCTACAGTTGGTTGCAAACTAATTAAAATATTCTTCAAAAAATTTTTTTATTCTACAGTTGATTGCAAAGATTCTACTGATGGTTGCAAAGATTCGACTTTTGATCGAAAAACTCTATATTTGTCTGATAAAAATACAAAATATTAATATTAAATAAAATTTAAGATGAAAAAGGCTTTTATATCTAAAAACATTTTTTTCTTTATCCTTTAAAAAAAATATTTAAAAAGACAATTTTATGTTAAAAATATTTAATGTTATAAAAATGATTAAAAACTTACTTTATTTAGTAATCTCAATATCACTATCCTCTTTTTTATATTGTTTAACTATTGATTCTTTAAACTTAGTTAATAATTTTATATAAATAATAAAAAGGTTAGCCTCCTTGTATCTATAACACAAACAAAAGAAAGAGATATGACTTTGTAATAATTACAATGTAGTCCCCCTTCTGTTTCTCATAATAAAAAATTTGGCTTTTCATACACTCTCAATTAATTGAGTATGGCATTGGGTCTCTGGGTCAATAAAAAACTTCGAATGATTCACTGTAAAGTGTTTTTTGAAGTTTTCATTGGCCCTACCATAAGCCCTCCAGCAGTCAGTATGAATGGTTGAGTGGGAGTATACACGCTCTTTTAAAATAGGAATGTGTGTTTCAGTTTTCTTCTTGTTTACAACCAGCATGTAAACATCACGAGTTTTATCATCAATAAATCCGAACACCCAAGGACCTTGAACTCTGTCACCATAATTATTTCTCTTGTTGAGATTTGAGTTCAATCCTAAGAAGTCTTTGAAGAAAAGACTTCCTACATTATCCTTTCGATGACCACCAAATAACGATTCATCTACTTGAATTACATACCCCTCACCTCTCATTTATTTAGATGTAATAACTTAATGAGTTACTTCTCTAACATAATTAGTCAAGTTGACAATTGTCTTATCTTCTGTTATCCCTGAATTCAGTTTCATTTTACAATGAGGCTGATCTTTTAAATAACAAAAGATGAGTTTTACTATCTTTTGAACTGGTATTACAACCCTGCTTTTACCCTTCTTTTTATAAGAAAAAGATGTATTTTTAAAGAGTGACCACTCTTTATTACAGGGTCTGCAACGGAAGAGGAAGCCGTCGTAATACTTCTTTCTTCTCGTCCTTAGGATTGTAGGTCCTTTGCAATATATATCGCCACTCATCCTTGGGTAATAACACACCCCAATCTACCATTTTAACCAAAAAGGCAACATTATCATTTAAAATTACTATTAATTCTTTGAAATTCAAAGGTTTAAAAAATGTGAAAAGTTTATAAAATTTTTCATATTATATATTTATTAAAAATTATTTTATAAGAATATTCAATCCTTCATTTTTAATACAAAATTTTTTCGACTAGCTAAAAAAATAAATATTTTTTAAAACTTTTATTTGATTAATTTTTTAATAAAAAATTACCCTGGCCCCAATTGAGGCCCGAACTTTAATTCAAGAAATTCTGGTATTCTTATTCATGGACATCAAACTGTGTTTAGGCCCCAATCGAAGGAATATCTGTTTAAAATATAAATCACATGTAACCTATGAAGAATTATTAGATTTATAAAACATTTTTAAACCTGACAATTAAAATTTTTAAAGCATCTTGAATATTTTGACTTTGTAAAAATTAAAATATCAAGTACTTCTCTATTAACATTACATGTAATTTTAATTGAAATTCTTGTTTTGCTCATTTTAAAATTTTTTATATAGTTACTTTTTAGTATATATGATTTGTTTCTTTATGATTTGATATATAAACCTATCTTATTCATATTAAATACAACCTCAATACTTTATTCATTTAAAAACATATTAAATTCTACAAAAAAATTAGTTAAATCTATATTTTTTGTAAACTTACTTTCGTTTAACAAATAAAAATATTTAATATTATTCCTTTCAATAAATTTCATAATAAGTAATGAGCGGGCTTAAATAAAGCTTTTTGTTCACGATATAATTGTTTGTAATATTTAAATTTGCAGGTTTTTTTGATCAAAAGTCAAATTTTTGTAACCAACTGCAAATGTTTTGCAATCAACTTTAGAATAATTCTTTTTTTGCTAAATACTTTAATAAGTTTACAATCAAATGCAAAACATTTACAATCAAGTGTAGAACTTTAAAAACGATAAAAAGATTATCAACAGATTTTATACAAGAATAATTACACAATTAGCTGAGTGATTTACATATATTACTAGGTTTTAAAGTTTCACCGTTTATAGCCTTTCATGAATTTTATGTATGACATACCATATTTATTCATAACAGCAAAAACAGAAATGTTTCCTATTCTTACCACGGGGACACTTACATAAGCAGAATTTCCTCATGATGAGCACTCTTAGTTGATCCTGTTGAAACAGCAAATCTAGCCCAGAATAAGAACATAAGTTTTATGCTCGTATTGTTCCTCCAGTTCTTTGAACTTGCTTGCATGCACATGCCTTAACTCAAGTGACGATCACAGTTTCTACACTTGCGTATTATTGTAATCCACTTAATGGTATATAAAAATATCTAAGATAACAATCAATTGTGCTTAGAGTGGCGTTAATACCAAATGATTCAGCTACTTTAGCAGTTAAATTCTTAAGTCTTTTCAAACAGTCTGTGTCTACCCAGATATTAGCTATTTCTTTTTATTCAAGTGTTAATTTTGAACTTCTATCTCTATCAGATAGTTTTACACAAACATCATTTATTTTATGAAAATTAGTTGCAATTTTAAAACAGTTATATAGTTTATGTTCAATGCAACAAAAATGTCTTTTATGGACAAGCCAAAAATCTTTACAGCAATTCTTTTCCTATCTTCAGGATACACTTGCTTTCTTCTTTTTCACGTTATTTATTTTCTAAAATAGCAGTGAAAGTTAAAACTTAAAAATATTTCTTTAGATTTACATTTGATTACAGATTTATTAAAATATTTGGCAAAGATAAATTTTTCTACATTTCATTGCAAAGATTTGACTTTTGGTCGAAAAATCCTTTTAAACCCCATTAATAATTCCACCACATAAACAAACTTGGTTAAATTTGTCAAGAATATAGGCATTTATATTGAAATAGTTTAAATTAATATCTTTTGTTAAATAAATCTTGTCAAAAAATCATCTTTATTATAAGATATTAATCTTTTTAAATAATTAATAGCTGTTCTTACTGTCTGTAAGTATGTTATATTCCAAAGTCAAATTTGACATTATAAGATTAGTAAATTGATATTTGAAAGCTATATTCTTTATGATTCTATTATCAATTCTATTTTTGTTAATTTTTTTCATAAAGGTGTTCAAATTTTTATAAAAATATTTAAAATTTTTTATATCTAATTAATAATTTTAACAATTAAGATTTGTGTTACAAGTATTTTATATTAATAATTTTCTGGGTGTAATTAAAACATCTTTATTAATATTTATACCATTAAATCAGTAATTTATGAAGAAGAAAGGTTTATTTATATCACTGTTTGTACTGTAAAAAGATAAAAATGAGTGTGTTATAAATATTTTTATATTATTAATATTTTTTTACAAATTTCACATTATACTTTTAAGGAAATGTAATAGTTTATTTTAACATTTTTAAAAGAATTATTTAATTTTAAATAAATTTTGTCTTACAAAAAAATTATTATATAAATGTGTGTAAGGAGAAGAATGATTGAAATAAATAAAAAGGGTTTGAGACTCATCAGAGCATACAAATCTCTCTGTCAATACTGTATCTTAAATATAACGCGTGTGGACAAAACGTATAAAATCAGGAATCTGGTTTTATAATATGAATTTTAAACAATAAACTTTTAGTTTATATTTTGTACTTAAATTTTATAAAAAGTATATAAAAAAGAAATAAATTTATCTTTAATTTAGAAGTTGATATTCTAAAAGACTAAATATTTTTTTAATAAGTTGTTTTTCTACATGATCAAAGCATTTTGTTTTTATTTCAGAGGCAATTTGTTTATATGAAAGATGAATAAATCCAAAATACATATAACTTAATCTTTCAATAATTTTTTTCATTTGATTTCCATCATGTTGTTTCTTAATTAAATTGGAAAAATTATCCAAATAATCAAATAATTTTAAATCTACTAAATCTCCTAAATCTCCTAAATCTTCATTTATATTAATATTTATATCAGTAGAATATTCATTTAACCAGTTAGTAATATCAAAATAATTATCAAATTTTTCTTTGTCTGATAAATTGCTTAAATATGAAAGAAAATTTTGGTTAATTGAATAAATTAATTCTTCTTTCGTCTTTTGTAAATTATCAATGTCATTATTGTTTATCATATTAACTACTTCTTTTAATATTAATAAATACGAATAAAACATAACATACCTGTTTATCAAATCTATGAGCATATTAATTATTTCTATGTTTTGATCTATACAAACATTACGACTTTGAAATGTTAAAATATGAACAAATTTCAATAAAAAACATTCAATAAAATTCAATTTGTTGGAATTATTTTGAATTATGTTAGAATCTAAATCAGCAATTTCTTCTAATTCAGATTCTTTAAATTCTTGTGTTTTTAAAAGTTTATAATAATCAAACATCGATATTGGAAATGAAAAATTGTTTCTCTGTACAATTTCATAAATCCTTTCTTTGTATTGTTTATTTATATCATCTGGAAAACAAGATGACAATGGATCGACTTTCCAGTATCTTTTCGATAACTCAACAAAAAAATTAAATGTTTCTTCTGTTATATGTGAATATAAAATGATATTTTGTGTATTTTCTGATTGCATTATTTCTTTTATTGCATCCGGTTCCATTTTTTCTTCTATTTCTTCTAATCCTTCAAATCCTATAATTTCATTAAATTCTTCCAACGTTATTGGTTCTTCTAATTCTCCTGTTATGGTTTCTCCACTCATTTTACTTGTTTCATCTGTTTTTTGTCGTTTTGTTGGAGGCTCTTCTTCATTATCTGATTTAGTTATTTTTTTTGCTTTTTCTGAAACAGGTTGATTATCAAATTCATTTTGTCTCCGTTTTAAATTTGTATTTTTATTCTCAACCGTATCACTAGATAATTCATTAGTACTATTGTTAAGTTTTAAAAATAATAAATACCAAATCATTTAAAGGGATAATTAATTTTTTTTAAATAATTACTAATAAATCAAAATATGTCAT